CAGGGTAGACCACTGTTATACCTCCGCGTGCTTCTTACCACCCCAGGGTAGACCACTGTCATACCTCCGCGTGCTTCTTACCACCCCAGGGTAGACCACTGTTATACCTCCGCGTGCTTCTCACCACCCCAGGGTAGACCACTGTCATACCTCCGCGTGCTTCTCACCACCCCAGGGTAGACCACTGTCATACCTCCGCGTGCTTCTTACCACCCCAGGGTAGACCACTGCCATACCTCCGCGTGCTTCTCACCACCCCAGGGTAGACCACTGTCATACCTCCGCGTGCTTCTCACCACCCCAGGGTAGACCACTGTCATACCTCCGCGTGCTTCTCACCACCCCAGGGTAGATCACTGTCATACCTCCGCCTGCTTCTCACCACCCCAGGGTAGACCACTGTCATACCTCCGCCTGCTTCTCACCACCCCAGGGTAGACCACTGTCATACCTCCGCCTGCTTCTCACCACCCCAGGGGTAGACCACTGTCATACCTCCGCCTGCTTCTCACCACCCCAGGGTAGACCACTGTCATACCTTCGCCTGCTTCTCACCACCCCAGGGTAGACCACTGTCATACCTCCGCCTGCTTCTCACCACCCCAGGGTAGACCACTGTCATACCTCCGCCTGCTTCTCACCACCCCAGGGTAGACCACTGTCATACCTCCGCCTGCTTCTCACCACCCCAGGGTTAGACCACTGTCATACCTCCGCCTGCTTCTCACCACCCCAGGGTAGACCACTGTCATACCTCCGCGTGCTTCTCACCACCCCAGGGTATGACCACTGTCTACCTCCGCCTGCTTCTCACCACCCCAGGGTAGACCACTGTCATACCTCCGCCTGCTTCTCACCACCCCAGGGTAGACCACTGTCATACCTCCGCCTGCTTCTCACCACCCCAGGGTAGACCACTGAACTTAGTCATACCTCCGCCTGCTTCTCACCACCCCAGGGTAGACCACTGAACTTAGTCATACCTCCGCCTGCTTCTCACCACCCCAGGGTAGACCACTGTCATACCTCCGCCTGCAAGACAAACCTCTGTATGAACTTTCACTTTCATCTAAACGAACCGGTTAACGAGAGGAGCTTACCACCTGTCAGACCTTACCTAACACTTTCTCTCATCCAAACAATATCCTAAGAAATATTACTGGGATAAGTCTAAACAAATATAACATTTATTAATGCTATTACCGAGAATATGGAGAGCATTAAATTACTGGTTACCGGGACTCAGATATTACTATAGGGAGAGAGTTGTAAATAATCTGAATCTTAGAGAACTGGGGGAGAGGATGCAAGATGTACTGGAAACAGGTAACTCTCTTACGGTTCACTGGAGTTTCATAAAAGTAGCCATCGCCTTACTCCATTCATATATCTTCACTCGTTTTTTTTTTTTTTTTTAGCGGACTTACGAAATCATAATGACATGATTGTAAACCAGGGAACGGGCGGGAATTGAACCCATGACGAGTGAGTCGTGAAACTTCAGGCCACTGCGTAAGCCACTGGACCAGCTGGCTACAATAAAAACAAAAAAGGCACAATACCGTGACTGGAACAATACACAAATAACTTGCACAAAGGAAAGAGAAAAGTTTATGATGACGTTTCGGTCCAACTTGGACTATTTACAAGTCACTCTCTTCTTAATGAGGTTGTCGAGAACAACCAGGAAATAATGCCCATCTTTACATTAATCTCCCATGGTACATAAAGGGACCGATTCTCTACTGCCAGGAAGACCATGTTCAATTATCTCCCATGGTACGTGACGGGACCGCTTCTCTAGTGCTAGAAGACGATATTTACTCTCATTGTGACTCATGAAATCGTAAAAGCACGACTATAACAAACCACGGCACGAGCGGAGTCTGAAACCACACAGGCCTGGAGTTTTACGGCTCACTCGCCATGGGTTTCAAAACCCCACTAGTACCGCGGTTTATTTACCTTCAGCAGCAGAATGATCAGAAACCTTGAGTAACCGTGTTAACAATGACCATGTGTTAAGATCACACTGCTGAATCATCACACACGAACCTCTACTTCCTCCACCCGAAAAAAATATAAAGAGGAAGTGTCTTTAATAAACCTGGGCCGTTATGTCTACACTGTGGCTAGTAATGTTGTCTACACTGTGGCTAGTAATGTTGTGTACACTGTGGCTAGTAATGTTGTCTACACTGTGGCTAGTAATGCTGTCTACACTGTGGCTAGTAATGCTGTCAAAGTTCACACAACTGTCAAGGTGTTCACCACTCCCTATTTCTGCAAGTCTAGTTTACTAACCCTCATCAATACATATCCGCAGTTCCAGACAGTTGTATGTATTACATGTACTGTATGTATATGTGTATGAATGCAGTGTTCTGTGTATGCAATAGAACGGAAAGAAATTTCTGAATGAATTACAGTATGGCTACTGTAACTATTGTTGCTCGTGTGTGTGTTTCTTTCACCAATTTGTGGTTGCAGGGGTCGAGTCACAGTTCCTGGCCCCGCCTCTTCGCTGGTCGCTACTAGGTCCATTATCTTCCTGCTCCTTGAGCTTTATCGTGCCTCTTCTTAAAGCTATGTATGATACCTGCCTCCACTACATCACTCTCCAGATTGTTCCACTTCCTGACAACTGATAACTGAAGAAATACTCATCTGAGTCTTCAACTTCCAGTTGCTGTGTCCTATCTCTGAAACCTGGTGTTTGTGTGTGTATGCGCGCGCCTAATAAACTGAACTTAACGAACAAGTGGAACTGCCCTAAGGGGTCAGAGATTTTATCCCTAACTGGTATACTCATTGTTTCTATTACCTCATGGTTACTATGTAAGCACAAGCCTACCTGGGATTAGGTGGTAGCCCGTTCATAACAGCTTCAACAGGTGTTAGTCTTTTAAAATCAGCATAGGCTCTGGTGGCCTGGTGGTTAACGCTCTCGCTTCACACGGTGAGGGCCTGGGTTCGATTCCCAGCCAGAGTAGAAACATTGGACGTGTTTCTTTCCACCTGTTGTCTATGTTCCCCATCAGTAAAATGGGTACCTGGGTGTTAGTCGACTGGTGTGGGTCGCATCCTGGGACACTGACCTAAGGAGGCCTGGTCACAGACCGGGCCGCGGGGGCGTTGACCCCCGGAACTCTCTCCAGATAAACTCTCCAGATAGGATGTACAGAATATATCTAGTAGGATGAATCCTATTCGAGTCAGTTGGTCTAGTGGTTAGCGCACTGGCCTGAGTTATAGGACTCGCCCTGGGTTCAAGCCCCACCCGTTCCCCGATTTAAACACTAACTATATTGTTATAATCAGTATCAACGAGTTAACATGTGTAACAACTCACAACTCGCTGTTTACACTTCAAAACGCTGTCCTGGACGCTTATTATATTGACTCACGAGTAAGGCTTGTGGCTCTTGCTGTGTCTTCAAGTTGGAAGTGGATCGTCGGTGTGGTCCCGGTCCAGGTGTTTTCCATAAGGTGACCCAGCAGTGTCTTTATGGGGTAGGAAAGATTCTCTTTCTCGCCTTCAGTAACAAGGAGACAATTTTCTCCCAGCTGAAGGTGACAGATTTCAACACTGTATGTAACCCATCTTGGGTGACTGAATATGACAGGGCAAACACAGTTATTATTTCCATTATATATCATAAAAGAAGGTAGCAGCATATTAATATTATATCCAATTTTGTTTTAGAAAAAAATATAATTTTCTCCACAAGGACAGTACATGATCACTGACCTCTACAGCCTAACTTAGCGGAGACAGCAGTAGCATATGATCGTGTGTCATCTCGACCTCGTCAAGAATGGTCCACCGCTCTGTTGTGTAGCTATTAATCTCGTCTCCCGCTCACGTCATTGTCCTTACGTTTTCTTTTATGCGAAGTGCTAAACCTGTGTGGTTCATTCAGGGCAAAGAGTGGTGGAGACACTATCCTCAGTCCGCTAATAAGGAGGGAGAGACGCTGCTCTCGTGACCAGGCTCTGCCCTCTTGGTGTTTCATTTTCAGACGATTCTCTTAAGAGCCACATAAGTTTCCCAGTCTTCTAACATGTTCATTTTTCCACTATAATCTACCTTGTCCATAATTACTATCGCATTTCCTTTGTTTCGTAAAGTGAAATCCAGGATCTTTCATTAATTCATGGTATAACTTAACAAATGTTTGAGGACAACCTGCAACGCTAATACATCTTTGGCAACATCTTCTATTATAATGAACCGTGAAGGACATCATAACGTCTTGATCTTCACACCTCATTATAAAACATTATAAAGAGATTCATCTCCACTATTTTCGTTCCACGTATTTGTTTTGTAATTTAGTAACTAACACAAGATTGCTGCAGTCAAGTTTCTACGTCAGTGAAAACTGTGCCGCTGAGAAAGTAGTGAGTTTGAGGGTCAACCATCATGGTAGTGGGTGAGCCAGTCTTCAGTGGTTGCTTGACTGATTCATCACATTTAAAACCCATCGACCACACGAGGGTCATTAAGGCTGCGTGTCACCTGTACAACACTAGTCAAGGATACTTTACTACCTAATACCAACTCTCAGTACATTATATATATAATATTATATATATATATATATATATATATATATATATATATATATATATATATATATATATGAAGAGAGAGAGAGAGAGAGAGAGATATCGGTGTACAAAGTGTACCTTCCTAACAGTTAAGTGTCTTATAGAGGTAAATAATCATTCTGCACACGTTATGTTTTACGCACCTGAGAGTATGTTCACTAGAACAAACCTGGGTACTTGACAATCCCCAGACGCTGTATGACCCCTACAGGCTAAGAGTTTCGCATAATAATAATAATAATATAATAATAATAATAATAATAATAATAATAATAATAATAATAATAATAATAATAATAATAATAATAATAATGAGCCAGGGGCTAGTAACCCCTCCTGTATAAATTACTAAATGTAAAAAAGAATAACTTTCGTTTTTCTTTCAGGTCACCCTGCCTCGGTGTGAGGCGGCCGATGCGCTGAGATAATGATAATAATAATAATGAAGTGCGCAAGATTCAAACAGACTGTTGAGTATGGTCTGGAGAGCCTCGGAGTCGAGAAGAGATAAGAGGACAGGTTCAGGTACACAACAGCTGTGTTAATATTGAGTCATCTAGTGATGGGGAAAAAAAAATGAACTGTTACACGAGTGATCCATGCAATAAATAATGTAATATACACTGTCTTAACTATTTACCGACTGGACTGACAGTTTAACTCCGTCACCTCTCCAGTCTTGAAGAATCTTACAATGATGATTTGACAAATGTGCACCACCTGGATAGCTTTATTTGGCGAAGTTTCGCTAAGTAGTGGCTTTATCAGTTCAATACAGAGGTAACTGAAGTTGTTAAAACTGGAGACAGTAGAAGAGGCAATCAGTCCCACAGCCTTGATAAAGCCACTGGTTGGCATGACTTCTTTAAATTAAGTTACCTAGGTGTTGTGCGTGTCCAATTCCTCACCTTGTCGGTACCACTATAATAAACCATACCACGGGTGGGGATAGAACCCGCGATCAGAGTCTCAAAACTCCAGATCGTCGCGTTAGCCACTGGACGCGACGGTCTGGAGTTTTGAGACTCTCTGATCTCGGGTTCTATCCCCGCCCGTGGTATGGTTTGTTTGCAATCGTGTCATTACGATTTCGTGAGCCATTATAATAATGATGCTTGTCTGACGGAGCAACACAATAGAATCGGTACAAAGCATATCTCTTGTAACCTATTTACTAAAACTCTGTCCCAACTCTCAGGCATGACCTACTTCCACTAGTTGGTTCCATCCATCACTGACGTGACTGCTGCACCTCGTCTGACTCCAGTATATGAGAGTCCATCTTCCCGCCTATGCTTCAGATCTATAATCACCGGTTTCCAGGCTGCGGGACTGATCACCTCATTTTCCACTGTCTTCTGTGTATAGTTCTGAATGATCACTTCATCTTCCACTGTCTCCAGTTTCAACACCTCCAATTACCTCTGTATTGAATTGATAAAACATGATAACGTCACTGGTGGTTGGAAAGTCTTCATACAAAAGGTGTCCAGATGGTGCATGTGTGTCAAATCTCTTAGCTTGAAAAATATACTATTGCTGCTTATGCTACTACTATTTCTATTCCCTTCTTTCCCCCACCCCTTATCGTATGCTATTTAAGTCTTTTATGCTTTCCTCGCCTCAGTTATGATTTGCCAATGATTCCGGACGGACCGAAATTTCGTCAAAGTTCTCCCAGGTGTGGGTTTTATCAGCGCTCGCAGAATGAGCTGCTTATTCGCAAACTAGCCGCTGCTGGAAGCAATAAAGCATTTCTCAACAGCTAATAATTTTTTACCCACGAAAAAAAAAGTCTATTTAAAGATAAAGATAACTGTAGAAGTGTCTTAAGAATAAAATAGTTGGAGGTAGTAATCTTGACCTCCAGGACTCTGGCTGTCACCGTCTCAGTCGGGATCTAGGTCATGATCTTGGTCATTCTGTGCGTCCTCCCTCAAGATCCTCCTGCAGGGAGAATAGGCAAGCAGCCTTGAATTACGAGCCTGTATTCACGATCCTTGACCTATATTCGAACTCGGGCTCTACGAGAGTAATGAGACGTAGCGTTAGAAAATGGATGTGTATCATCTTCCTGGACGGCAAGGAAGAATTTGATATTGCGTTGTACATAAGCGGTATGAAGATGAAGAGTTAGGCACAAGTGCAACATGTGGGTATCTATTTGTACACGTATCGGCATCCAGTGGCTTTATCAATATAAATTCAAGGACATCATGTCCTTGAATTTGTATTGATAAAGCCACTGGATGGCGAAACGTCTACAAATAAAGATACCCACATGTTGCACTTGTGTCTAACTCTTCGACTTCATTTGATACACCAGAGGTTAACGAACAAGCTGGAGAAATACGATGGGAGAACATGAAAGGTAATCCAGTGGATTAGGACCTATCAAAGAGTAAAAGAGTGATGGTTCGAGAAGTATCTCAGTGGATGACAAATGAGTACGGGGTCGTCAGGACCAATGGTGAGACTGGTAGTATTTCTGATGCAGGTAATTAAGCCGTATGTCATCCTCTTTCTGGACGATGTAAGATGCTGAGGCGCATACGAACGGGAGAAGAGAGCAACAGACTTCAGGGGTAAATGGACAACTGCAGCAGTGGTCACATGAGTCTAGTATAGTTCACAAGGACTGGTCTGTAACGAGAGACTAAGGAACTGAACTTCAATAACTTGAAGATAGAATAATCAGAGGCGACATGATCACGACGTATTGGATCCTCACAGGCATTGATAGGATTGTTAAACACAGTAAGAGATAGTATAAAATACCGACGAATGTGAAACAGGACATGTGCAATGTTAGGATATTTTCTCGAGGAAACGTTCGACACGACTGAAGAAAGCATTCGGGGCGAAACGTTCCTTCAATCAAATATCCTAACACTGCACGTGTATCCCACAGACGGAGGGACAGAATACTTGGAAGGAAAGGATAAGAAATAATGTGTTCGATTTGAAATGGATTTCTCAAGAAGGAGAATGTGCCACAGACGTCAGGAAATACCTCTCCAGCCTTAGCCTGATTGAGGTATTGAATGACACGAATAAGAAACTGCTAAATGCATGACACACTCATATGGCTAGGAATCTGCCCATCAATAATCATAAAAAGGCGGCGCCAGGAGTTGTCAATTAAACCCACGCAATCACAACAAACTATACAATTCCAGCTTGATATTCCCGACTCGAGATAATTTCTAAGACCCTGGTGTTGAGAAGTTAAGTTTAATATCTTAATTATGCACACCATACCCATCCTGTGGGTGGTATTCAAAAGATTATAGAGATACATAGTGGGTCCAGGGACTGGGCCGCAAAGCTTTGATAGCTGAACAAGTTACAAAGGTAATGGTCACAATCATGGTCCACAATATGCAACAAGAGATGTCATTGTTGGTTTTCAACTTCCTGATACATTTCTCTGATACCTGCTGTCAGACTCCGCGGAGCCTATATCATCAAACCTATCCGGTGATAAAAACATCCTTGAATCTTCATAGAATGTACAACCAAGAGGCTTAATTCTTTGCGCGTGAAGAGGGGATTTGGAGAGTACAACATTGAGAGTAATTCTGTGTGTGAAGGAGTATAGTTGGTGATGGATGGTGGCGTCAGTGAGTAGCCTCGTGTGACGTGGGTTGGAGGGTGTCACGCCCACAGGCATGTGGTTGCCCATATTCATAATAGACAGGATTTCACTGCTGCTAAGACAGTCAAATGGGCAACTGTTTAGCGAGCCTTAAAACAGTGATTGCCTGAATTAGACTTCTAATCCACACGGTGGCTCCGTTTTGTTATATGGAAAAAAGACCCAACCAAGTACGTAAAACAAACATGTTTGTGGAACACGTGTCGCTCTTTAAAGAGCTTTTTGCAATCGTTGAAAAGCTTTTACTTAAGAGCGAAACGCTGTCCAAATAATGCCCTTGTTTTGTGCACTTGTGTCCTTGTCCTCGAGTGACGTTAATGGAGAGTTTTAATGATGAATACAATCATCTTAGTAAGTGCAGTGTAGGTGTTCTTGAGGACAGTGTCACCCAGGATATCATAACACTTGAATTTATATACACTTTATACATTTATATATCAACATTTTATATTATAAAAACCCTTTATACAATATACTAATATTAATTTTTAAAAGGGTGGAGGGCCAGTGGAAGATCTCTGTCAGATGACTAAGCTCTCAGATCAGCGTCAGGAAACACTTTTCCTGCTTCCCGACCAATCTTACCTCTCCTAATCAATATACTGTATACAAACGCTTCATACATTCATACACAATGGCTGTGCAAAGTCATCAAGCGGAAATTTTCATTCGGGAGAGATTGCATGCATGTGGCCATAGCTAGGGACACTCCCCCCCCTCAAACACACATAGTGGAGCACAGGAGAGATAGGGGAGGGGACATGATGACATATAAAATACTGACGGGAAATGACAAGGTGGATAGGAACAGGATGTTTCAGAGATGGGACACAGCAACAAGGGATCACAACTGGAAGTTGAAAACTCAGATGAGTTACAGGGATGCTAGGAAGTATTTCTCCAGTCACAGTTGTCAGGAAGTGGAACAATCTGAAGAGTGATGTAGTGAAGGCAGGATCTACACATAACTTTAAAATAAGAGATACGATAAAGCTCATGGAGCAGGGAGAGAGTGAACACAGTAGCAATCAGCGAAAAGGCGGGGGCCAGAAGCTGAGAATCGACCCCTGTAACGACAAAAAGATGGGTACACACAGACAGACAACTAGTAACTACTACTCTCACACACACACACACACACACACACACACACACACACACACAGGGGCCAGGAGCCAGGAGCTTGGACTCGACCCCTGCAACCTCAACTAGGTGAGTACAGTATTGCCAGGATCCGTGAGGGTTATGCTGGTGTAGTCACTTCTCAAGGGGACACCGAGACACGGGACTCGTCAGTCTGGCTGACACCCGTAAGCTTGCGCAAGCTATGCAAGAAAGGTATAAAATACCGACAATATGAAAGTTAAGACACATGTGCAACATCTGGATATCTTTATTGTAGACGTTTCGCCATCCAGTGGCTTTATCAATACAGATTCTAGGACATAATAGGAAGACAGTAGAACTATATACAAAAGATGAGGTAATCAGTCCCTCGGCCTTGGAGTTAGTGTTCACAGCTGTGAACACTAACTCCAAGGCCGAGGGACTGATTACCTCATCTTTTGTATATAGTTCTACTGTCTTCCTATTATGTCCTAGAATCTGTATTGATAAAGCCACTGGATGGCGAAACGTCTACAATAAAGATATCCAGATGTTGCACATGTGTCTTAACTTGCGCAAGCTAGCTGACAGTGACATCCGTAAGCTTGCACAAGCTGGCTGACGCTGACACCAAACTCCGCTTATTTACACAAACTAATGGCATGTGTATAAGCTGTCCATTGGTGCTGTGTCGTCTACTCTTAGGATCACATCTAAGAGGTACAGTTAGCCACAAACATGACCCAGTGACACACAAATACACTATGTACACTTACAGACGACATTTCACCCTAAACAGAATTCCAGAAAGCTCTAGAGCGAAACGTAGTTTACAAGTGAAGGTGTGTTCTGTACACATCGTATGTAACTGTCTATCCCTGTCAGCAAGTCTCGTCTCTCAGTGTATAATACCGAGAGTTGATCAGCAAGACGTGTGCAATACCGAGTGGGCGAAACGTCTCTCTCCGAGATACACAGGTGCTGCACATTTATCTTGCTCATCGACTCCTAAGGCCTTTTCGCATCCGGTACGTTCAACATCATTCACTTTACAGGTGCCATTCTTATCTTCATTCCAAAGTATTAAGATCCTGTATCCCCCCCCCTCACAGTAAACAACATCAGCCATTGTTTTTCCAGACAACAGCATTAATTTGTCCAAATAATTTTGAAGTGCTACGATATGTTCCTTAGAATTTGCTATTGTTTTTCTCGAAGAGGGAGCTACGGGGTCTATTTTTGTAGAGCCAAAAGAAGGTGAGAGGAAAGAGAGGCGGAGATGTAGGTGCAGTAGAGGTTGTATTAATGTTGGTAGAATTACCGACAATAAGTTGGGTAAAAGGACACAAGTGCAGCTAACGGAACATTTTACTGTTTTTTTTTTTTTTTTTTTTTTAGTGGGATGGATTTGTGAAGGACCTGCCCAGTATGGGCCAACAGTCCTGCTACAGTGTTCCTCCTTTCTTATATTCTTTAGTTGTACATGTGTCCTTGCAGTAGAGGATGTGGGAAGGGTATGGAAGGGGACCATGATGTTAACACACCCCAGATACAGCCATGACGTGCTGATGTATAAATACGCCGGAAGAGGAGCGCTGCCACAGCTCTTCGTCGTCATCAACTAACCCGTTTTCCATTGAGTTGGTGGGATACCAACCCTTCAAGGAACAAAGAATTAGACACATGTGCAACATCTGGGCATCTTTACTTGCACACGTTTCGCCATCCAGTGGCTTTATTAGTAAAATATAGAGAGATAATATGAAGACGAAGTATATACAGAGGATGAGGTAATCAGTCCCTCAGTCTTGGAGTTCTTTAAGAGCACCCGAGTTTTGAAGAATCTTCAAGACTGAAGGACTGATTACCTCATCCTCTGTATATACTTCTAGTCTTCATATTATGTCCTAGTATTGTACTGATAAAGCCACTGGTTGGCGAAACGTCTACAAATATACCCAGATGTTGCACACGTGTCTAATTCTTCATCTTGTCGGTA